TAATCATGATGAATTGACAATATCACATGATTTTCGAAACTTTTTTGGGTGGCGATTTTACCCCAGTCAATAAATAATAAATATCTCGCATCCGACTATAATAAACTGAAGGTTTTTTCGAATCGGTTTTTAATTTTAAAATATAATTATCGGCCTTCCAATTTGACCAAATCCGATTATATAATCATTATTAAATTTAAATTTAAATTTCAATTTAAAATTTTGATTACTGGTTTAGGAAATGTGCAAGTTAAATACTAAAATAAACATGTTTTTCTCAATGAATTAATAAAAGCACAAGATGTTTAATAATTACAAAAATGGGATATTCCATTTCCGGACATAGCATAAAATTTAGAAAATAAAATTTAAATTCACAAGATAGAACGAATAAAATTTGCTAACAATATTTAGATTATGATAACTGTGCTGTAGAGCATAATTTACACGTTTCAAATTTATATTTCTTCGCATACAAAGATTGATAAAGAGATTGATAAGATTGAAAATATTAACTACATTGAGATATTTACTAAAATGAGAAATCTCATGATGGTATTACGTGAAAATAATAGTCGCTAGTCAATACATAATGAGTAACTATTTGTCAACGCTAACGTTTGTCGGAATATAATATAATGAATGACTCCGGTAACTGATGCAATAGTTTAATTTGTGAAAACAGTGATCTACTTGCTCATCATACATATTTCTAAAATAAGAAAATCTTACCGACAAAAAAGTTAAAAATTTATTTTACCATTTTAAGTTAAATTCAATCTTTGCGCCAGAATAACCGCCAAAAATTATCTATGATGATATTCCCTATTTGTAAATCTCCACACTTAGAAATATTTCCACGGATAAACGTTAGAGTTATACAAGCAAATGCATTCCCCGCCTCCCGTATAATTCCATTTAAAGTAACTGTTACTTTACATTTTAGACATACTTGAGAAGTTCTTTGCGTAAAGAAAGAGTACAGTATCGAATATCCAAGATTACATATATATTTTTTTTGTTAAAATGTAAAAAAAAAATTATTCATCAGATTGTTGTATTTTTATTTATGTTACAATTCTGTTAAATAGTTATAGATATCTATTATCATTTAGAATGTTATTTTAAATTTTATTTATTAAATTTGGCACTAATATAAAAAATTTACTACGTAATATAGTTTATTGATCTATCGAAACCAGATTATGTAATATTAAAATTTTGATGAAATTTGATCTTTTGAAATTTATTTGTTCTGTACTGTTAAGTATACCTTTAGAACAAATTAAAAAAAATCTTAAATATTTTTCTATTCCTTACTGTTAAATATATTGTTGAATATTTTTCTGTTCCGAACTGTTAAATATATTGTTGAATAAATTAAAAAATCTATTGAATATTTTTTTGTCCGTGCTGTTAAATATATTGTTGAATAAATTAAAAAAAACTATTGAATATTTTTTGTTCCGTGCTGTTAAATATATTGATTAGAATAAAAATTACAATACAAAAATCTTTCCAAAAAGCTTGGAGTATTTATATTGACATTTTATACGGCAATTCCTTTTTTGTACATATACCGTTTAAATACTGGTTAACCTTAACCGTATTTTTATATCAAAGTTTCTTTACGATATTAGGAAATATGCGATAAAATATTTTTATTTGTTTTAAATCACACGATAGGAATATAACGTAATCGCGTCTCATTAAAGAAATTTTCTTTTTTTATTTCTTTGGCGCTTTTTAATTGCAAATTGATTAATTTCTTCAGGATAATAATATAATGAATAAGGAAAATCGCGAAATTTATCTTCGCAGCTGAAACAAGAAACGGCAGAAGTTGGAAATCGGATGTTTCTATTTAAAAATATGTTATTTACTAAAATCTACTTATACGTACTCTTTTATTATAAACTCAACTCTAAATATTAGCTATTGTATAAAATTAAATAAATAAATAAAAAAACCAAAAAATCGCTCCACCAAAAATTATATAAACCCTAGCTATTTCCATCTTCAACTTCGGCCTTTCAGCCGCGATATTTATTTGATATTGTTGCCATATCCTGTGTCCTATCTTCTCGCTTTTAAATAATTTTTTGTGCATTATTAAAATTATTTTCTTTTTTTTTGTGGGATGGATAAAAATTTTTGCAACCAATTATTTCCCTTGCTCGAAAAAATCTCAATTTACCCACACGAATACGATGCAAGCAAGTTGGCACACTACTTTCATGATATGGAACCAAATATATGCAGAGACAATGTGTATAGGCTGGTTATTAAGAAAAAAATCTTAATACATGGAGATTATAATGATGCCATTGTTGATCGTGTTGGGGACCTCCTATGGTATAGGGTCCCTGAAAAACAAAAAACTAAGGTCCAAGAACTTTACAGAGATCTCACTGACCAAATTATTGAGGTCTTAACGCCAGCAACCGGTGAACGACCTTTAGGCGAAATTTTTAATCGCGGCATTGCGGACTGCTTTCCGTCACCAACCAATGCTGAGAATCAAAGTTCACCAGATTTTGTAAATGGCTTCGCGCCATTTTAACTTTTTTATGTAAAAAATATTTGTAAAAAATTGTATGGGGATTTAATATTTTAAGCTATTAATGTAAATAATTGTATGGGGATTTTATATTTTAAGCTACTAATATGCAATGTTTTAAAAATAATATGGACAAAAAAAATATGTATAAAAAAAATTATATGGGGGATTTGTATATTAAACTATTTCGGTGGGTGGCGCTTCGCACCACCCATCTTATTTAGTAATTTAAGAATAAAGTTAATAAGTTCTTTTAAGTAATTCTCTGACTAATAACATTTATACTCATTGACTAAATTAAAGTGAAAAATTAATAATGGGTGTCTAAATTACTCTTAATAAAAATTATTTCGACATTTAGTCTGCCGAGGCTAATTGTTCTTAGTGGCAAAATTAATCTTCATAGTTATCGAAATTATTTGAATCCTTTGCCATTAGATAGCACAGGTCAAACATATGCAATTCGACCTCCTATATTTTATAAAAATTCGAAGGGGAATTGGCATCTGATTTATGGTCGATAGTTAAAATATAGTTGATAGTTAGAAAAATTATAATTGAAAAAAATTTTTTTGGTGCAAAGTATACAAGTTTGCAAAAATTTTTACAAATAAGAGTATATAATAAATTAAATATTAATTTATATTCTTTTTTTTATTAAAAATATATAATTATATACAACTATTATGATACTATCATTTCTAAATAACTATACTAATACCAAGAAACTAGAATGATATGAAAAAAACAAAATACTAAATAACTAGAGCAATATCAAAAAACCAGAACATCAAGAAACTAGACTAGTATCAAGAAACTAGAATGACATGAAGAACTAGAAACATCATCAAAAAAACACTAATAAAAAGAAAGGTAAACAGATTAATAAAAGGAAAGAAAAAGTATATACTTATATCAATTCAGTAAAGAAAAATGAAAAAAAAGATTAAAAAAAACAAAAGACAAAAAAATGATTGCATTATTGTATGTTTCGGATCAACAATATAGTTGTAAAACAAACCTTGCATATTATTATTACATATTATTAAATTTAGGGACACTCAATTCAGCAAATCCACTGTGCTGATATGATTTTCCAATTATTGACCTAAAATCAGATGTCAATTCCCCTTCGAATTGCTATATAAATATTAGAGGCTGAATAATGGGTGGAAATTGAGTTGATTTTTTTTTATATAGACGATTTTAGATTTTTTTGAGTTAATTTTTTTTATATAGACAATTTTAGATTTTTTTTAGGTCGATATTTATTAATATTTGACTAAGTCAATTTTTATATGTTCAACTAATGTAGTACAGTTGCTTTGTAGATTTTATATAAAAACTAGCAATATTGAAATATTTGTCGAAATTACTTTTAAACAATAATTTGGACACCCATGTATATAGAAAATACTTTTGAAAATAAGAATTTAGAATGTCAAATACATATATGCATTAATAAAGATTTTTAATAATAATGAGATTATTTGTATTGCTATAATTTGTATAAAAATTCTCATTTGGGTAATTTTACTAAAAGTTGCATTTAATCAAATTTATTACAAAGTTCTACAAATTGATATTAATTATTAAAAG